ATGTGATCAATATTAAAGCGCGTTAGAATTATAAACAAAGAACCAGACATTAAGGGTAGCCTTTTTTCMCGTTATCATTAAATAATAGTCGGCAATGTTACATATCAGGCAGTGACTCCACAATCTAAATAATATGAGGTACAGTTCAGTGGGGATTTTTCCACCTGCATATAATACGTCTAGTACGTTCCTGCAAAAAACTTCTRTCGATCTATAAAATCAAAATAATTGTTTTCTGTACAATAAAACGTGTTTACATTAAGATGGTATTTTAAAACTCAAATGGTTTCAGAGACAGGTTCAATATGTTAGCCAGAACGAGGGAGAGTGGAGGTTCAGGGAAAAATATAATTTTAATTGAAGATATACTAGGATTTTTTAAATTCATGAACGATTTCTCTCCTTTTTGAACAAGTTAATGTAATTTTTGCCGAACAATAGTWCACGGTGGTGAATTTAGGTAACATTATTTTTATGGTATTAATTATAGATCGTAGATAAATATTTGAAATATAATGTGATTTTAAATCAAACTATAAGGTTCCGTTTTTTTGTCTTTATATTGGAGATTAACAATATTTATTTTATGCCTAGTTWGATGTACCTACCTATACGGTCGCATTTKTGCGTGTGTCCAACAGGTGACCGAGGTGTGCTTGTCGCTGTTCGCGTGCATAGAGATGGCGTATTACGGCTACTTGTACTCCAAGATTGAGGACAAAGAACACTATCAGATAGCCACGGGGTTCGCAAAATCCGGGATGCTGAGCGGCACGTGTGTGGGTGGCCTCCTGGGTCAACTAGTAGTCTACTTCAATGATCGCAATTACTCCGTTCTGCCATACTACAGCCTCGCCTGTACGGTTTTCGAAGTAGTTTATTTTATAGTATAAAATTGTATTTTTWTACTTAACGCACAATCGACATCTGATTGCAAACCCGGGCGGTGGAGAAAAAAATCTCGCCAATATATTTTTTCAGATATTATGTGTGTTTATTCGCGCTACGAACAAATCCACACATAAACATAAAGTTTGAACCGAAAAACTAATTTCTATAAATAAATATATTTTACCTATTTTTAACATTTCTGGAAAATATAAGTTATGATAGTGTGTGTGTGTGTGTGTGTTTTTTAACTCTTTGTGGCAAGTATGAAATATACATATCACCCCCTCCCACGATGGTCTTTGTAACGCCAATGAAACTGATCGTCCTCGTTGCTGTTAGCGTACCTATAGTAAACGAGTAACTGGTTTATTTGATATATTTTCTAGTYGTGACATTTGCGACTGCATGGGCATGCTTCTTGCCATCCGTCGGAAACAGCAAAACGTTCGTTCACACGCAAGACGTCCGTGGCAAAGTTTTCTCAAATGCAACCATCCGAGACCCAGGCATATCCAAGTACTCCTCAACCGAAAAAGCTGACACACCAAATGTGAGCACWCAAGTGACATTTGCAGACGATGACGTCTGGTCAAAGTGGTATTGTTTTAGTCTGAAAACAACCATTATATTTTCGCCCGAGACGATTATCAATATTTAGTTATTCTACCAAATATGATGCACTTATACCGATGTTTTTACTCTATTCGCCTTCGTTTCTACAGTTAATATTTTAGGAATCAAGCACATRCAYTTTTTTAGAGTATTTATATTTCAGTAAATTAATCTATTAAAATATTATCTATCCTAATCAGAGAAACTCAAGAAAACTAATTATTWTCATAAAATCAATAATTTTAAACACAATAGCTAGGTAGGTACTATGAAAATTTATTGTAATATTACAATGAT